GAGTTTTGATTAAAATTACTCAGAGGTTTCAGGGCTTAGAGGACGTCGCGTGTCCCTTCAGCCCCTCCGGATTGTGTTTTTTTTTTCATCCCCTCCATCCCTGGATGCAGGAAGGGTTGAAAAGAGCCCTGACCCCCCCTACCCGAGGTCGGATGATTCCTTTTGGGAGGGCTTGGACCCAAATCTGAGGCTTACACCCCAATTGTTGGAGTGACATGAGGGGGAGCCACCTTCCTGCCAGTCACTGGAGGAAAATAAACACAGGGATCAACTCCTGTTTCCTTTGGAACCAGGACGATGCCGAAAGGATTTTTTTCGCCGTGAAGTTTGAGACAAAAGGAGACTTTGGGGTGTTTGGGTTTGTGTCACTCAAAGCAGGGCTGGAAATGATCAGTGATTACGAGCTGAAATGGAAACAATGGCGAGGCTTAAGAGGATCTTTTTCTTTGTAAGTGACAAGAATTTGGTAAATGATGGGTGACGTCAACATCTTCCTTATTGTCTAAAAATGGGATAAAAGGGGAGAGACCTCAGAAATCTCCCATTCCTGCAGCTCCACTGATTTATTCCCTGCAAGACAGCGAGGTGAGTCTGACTGCATTGTGCTCCTCAGTATTTTAAAATTTCTCCTTTTTTATCTTGCAAAATCCCGGCAGTTCTAGAAAGGCTGAGGGAGAGAAGAGTGGATTTAGAAAAGTTGTGGGAAAGGGAAGAGCAGAGCAAGGAAGATTTTCCTCAGGGACTTTCTGAAGGCAAATCTTCCTTGGAAAGGGAATTAACGGGACTTTTCTGGGCAAGGAATTGTTTAAGGGTCAGGATGTTCAGCCCCAGAGAAAAGGGGAAGATTTTTTTTTTTCTTTTTGAGAGAGATTCAGAAGAAAAAAAGATGCGATGGTAGGAAAGGAAGAACAGGTCAGGAAGGAAGGAAACAGCAGGAAAAAACAGAGATCTGTGAGGGGAGAGTTAAACTGGGAGCAGCTGGAGAAGGACAAAGCACAACTGGTCCATACTGGGAACCCGCGGCTGCTTCCTTGACCTGCACATTTCCTTTCCCAGCTTGAACGCGGCTCCCAAAGGATGATGTTGAACGTGGGCCCCGAGTGCCAGCCAGGCTGCGAGGTGACCTGTCCCCAGCCCTGTGCCTACAGCAGGAGCCTGGAGCCCTGCGTCTCCTCCTGCGGAGATTCCAGGGCCGTGGTGTTCCCTCCTCCCGTCGTCCTCACCTTCCCCGGCCCCACCCTCAGCACCTGCGCCCAGGAGAGCGTTGTGGGAGCGTCCCACCCCGTGGTTTTTGGTGCTCCAAACGTCTCCGATGAGTCCTATGGGGTGGGGGGCTCCTTTGGGCTTGGGGGTGGCTCCTTTGGACCCGGAGGTTCCTTTGGACCCGGAGGCTCCTTTGGCTACGGAGGCTCCTCGGGCATCGCCTTTGGGCGTGGGGGCTCCTTTGGCTCTGGGATGCAGAATTCCCGTGGGTCCTGTGGCTATGGGAGCGTGCTGGGAGCCAAGGGCTCCTTTGGATCTGGGGGTGCCTTTGGTCACGGGGGATCCCTGGGGACGGGGGGCTCCGTTTACGGCCGGAGGTCCCGCGGCAGCCGCGGGTCCTGCCTGGGGAGCTGGGGCTCATCCTAAAGGACCAACAAAGCTGGAAGATGAAAACCCAGGACACGGATCCACGGCCGGGCCTGGAATTCTGAGGCTGTTCCCTGAAAAGCCAGACCCACATCTCCTCCTGTTGTGCCTCGTCTCTCCCGTGGGATGATTGGTGTCTGTCCTGGAACTCTTTAATTAATCTCGTCCTTTCTGGTGGGGTGGAAATGCTTCAGAATTCCCGGTGGAATCCTGCGAATTTCTGTCTGGAAGGGCTCCGGCTTCACCTTGTGTGAAGTGGCTTTTGTCACTCACGGGGGTGGCTCGGTTGCCCTTGGACCACCAGTGAATTTCTCTGTTTGATTCTATTTCGTTTACTTCAAGCCCTAATAAAAATCTTTCCGGATCGCATCGGCAGCTTCCTGGTTTTCCTTTCCACAGAATCCCAGGATCATTTAGGCTGGAAAAGACCTCCAAGGTCATCAAGTCCAACCTTTGATCCCCACAAAATGAGGTCACCCCTAAATATCCCAATCCACCATTACCCTGGCTCCAGGTTTTAACTGGTTTTAACTGGGAGCTGTCCCAGTCCCTCCCCGGCTTTTTCCAAACTATTGGAAATTATTCTCTGTTTATTTATTGGATAATGTGGAATGGATCAGAAAGGGAAAATAGTTTACTGAGGAATTTCAGGCTAATTATATTTGCATTAAAGCGGAATTAATTCCCCTCTGACGAGGATTAATTAGTGCATGAGGATTCCTTTCCTTCAGACCGGTTTGTAACTGAAACTGTGATGAAACAAAAGCCAGAACCCGGGGCTGTGATGCAACAGGGCTTTAATACAAACAAAAAGTGGGATGAGGCAGTGCAGAGGCAAAGAACAGAATCTCCATGTCAGAATTCATTCCCAGTTCAGCATTCCCAGTTCAGCATTCCCGGTTCAGCCTGGACTGCAGTCCAGCACTCATTCCAGAACATTCTTTTTCCAGCCAGCCACTTTCACAGCCAAGTCCATGACTGGTTTGACTCTTCGGGGTTCAGGGAGTACAAAACACAACAGGAGCGAGGGACAAAGGGAGGGAAGGAACATCGAGATCCTAAGCCTTGGATAAAGCACAACGAGATCCAAACAACCCCGGCTCCGACCGCGTCAGCTGGAGCGGAGACCGCTTGGAATTCCTAGCTGTCAACTACTACTTTGCATCCTATTTTTAATTTTTTTTTTTCCTTTTGGACATCCCTCAGCTTTAAAGGGTTAAAAAGGCCCGTAGTTCCCGTAGCGATACCTGTAGTACCCTCGGGAAGAATAGGGATAATAATTCCTACCGTAGCCGGAGAAGTAGGAGCCGCGGTAGAGGCTCGCCAGCCGCGACATCCCACCCCCGCAGGAGGAGCCCCCTCCCATTCCCCCGCAGGAGCCCCCCGACCCCATCCCGTGGGAGCCGCCTCCCCCGCAGGAGGAGCCCATTCCTCCCCCTCCAGATCCCCATCCCGATCCCATCCCGCCTCCTCCCGATCCCATTCCTCCTCCTCCCGATCCCATCCCTCCACCTCCGGACCCCCATCCCGATCCCATTCCTCCACCTCCAGACCCCATCCCTCCTCCTCCAGACCCCCATCCCGATCCCATCCCTCCACCTCCGGACCCCATCCCACCCCCTCCAGACCCCATCCCACCCCCTCCAGACCCCATTCCCCCGCCGATTTCGGGGATGGACGAGCCGACGATGCTCTCCGTGGGGCAGGAGCTGATGATGGGCCCCGGGAATGTCACGACCACGGGTGGGGCGTAGACGATGGCTCGGGAATCGCCGCAGGCGGCCACGCAGGGCTCGCTGCAGGCATCCACGTAGGGCTGGCTACAGGTCACCTCGCAAGGCGAAGCACAGCGGGCACTGAGCAGTTGCCCGTAGGACGACATCGTTCCCAATCCGACCTGGAACGAGGAAAAGATCCCAGCCCGGTGAAGGCACGGCCGGAGGGTTGGGAGGATGGGGAAGAATTCCTCGGTTCTGGCGTTTTCTGGGTGTTTGAGTCTTTAATCGCCGCTTTTTAGAGGTGAAAAATGTTTCTCCGTGAGAGAGAAATGTGTTTTGTCCCTAAATTCTTAGGGATGTGGCTGAGATATCCGGTGGGAAATGGGAGGTGTATGGGAGATGATTCCCTTTGGGGTTTGCTGGAAAAGGGAATCCCAAATGGGAATGGGGATTTGGGTGGGTGGTGTTTGGATGGACAGGTGCAGATGTGTGGGATTAAATCATCTGAATAAATGAGTTTGTGGTTAAAAAAAAAAAAAAATCAAAATAATCATTTTTTAAAAGATCATTTCTAGGGCACAATCCTCTTTTCCATAAATTGCACCAATCAAGGGAGATGAATTGTGGGGAAACGCTTCCAGTTCTGTCCCCACTCCTCTCTAGTGCCCCATGGAATTACGGAATGGACCTTAAAGATCCAGTTCTGACCCCTGCCATGGGCAGGGACATTTTCCACAGACCCCAAACCCCGTCCAGCCTGGCCTTGGACAATTCCAGGGATGGGGCAGCCACGGCTTCTCTGGGAATTCCATCCCAGGACCTCCCCAGGCTCAAAGGGAAGGAATTATCCCTAAAATCCCATCTAAACCTGCTGCCCATCAGCGAGAGCACATTCCCCCTTTTCCTGGTGCTCCATCCCTTGGAAATTTTCTCCCCATGTTGGTTTTGGCTCCTTCAGGTCCTGGAAGGCCACAGTTGGGTCACCCCAAAGTTTTTCTGTATTTTTGTCCTGTCTCTCTGGGAAGAACCTCCCCATCCTTCTCTCACATCATTCCCTTCCCTGCTCCTTTTGGGAATCCATCCCACCCAGCTCACGAGTTTGGAGTGACCCTTTCCCTGCTCAATTCCTAAAAATCCCTCCCACCACCATCATTTTTCCACCTCCCATTCCTTTCCCCGCTTTTATCCACCTTAATCCCAAACCCCACTTCCCACGCAAAACTCGGAGAACAAACTCTACCCTCATTTAAGGATAGGACATAAAACCTCTGATCAAAGCTCCCCATAAACCAAATTGCTCCTAATTAGGAGCTGATTCAGTTAAATCTGACTTACCCAGTCAGCGAGGAGAGCGAGTCAGCAGAGGCAGCTCCAGGGCTGCCAGGCAGGAGCACTTTTATATCCTGTCATGGAGAAAGGAAATTGGGAGCCACCTTGACGCAACCCCCTTGTGAAATGGAATGTTTTCCCTGCTCCTGCCTCCCCTTGTCGCAACTGTTTTGATAACGCCTTAGGATTAGGAGATAATTCCCAGTCCCACACAGGTGCTTCACCCTTCCCGGGCCTTTGTTGGAAATCTCTCCATCAGCCAAGCTTTTTCTTTTTTTTTAAATTTAAGATATTCCCCAAAATGTTCGTTTTGTCTGTCTGTGGTGGCTTTGTGTGGGTTTTTATGGAATTTCTGACTTGGGATAGAAATCCCCGGGCCTACACAGGGAGCTGCAGGTGCTTCACCCTTCCCAGGCCTTTGTTGGAAATCTCTCCATCAGCCAAGGATTTTTTTTTTTTTTTAGGATTTTCCCCAAAATGTTCGTTTTGTCTGTCTGTGGTGGCTTTGTGTAGGTTTTTATGGAATTTCTGACTTGGGACATAAATCCCCAGGCCCACATAGGATTTGGGATAATCCCCGGGCCTACACAGAGTGCCCCAGGTGCTTCACCATTCCTGGGACATTTTTGGGAATTCCACCATCAACCAAGGAGGATTTTCCCTAAAATATTAATTTCATCTGTCTGTGGTCACTTTGTGTGTGTTTTTATGGAATTTCTGACTTGGGATAGAAATCCCCAGGCCCACATGAGGTTTGGGAAAATCCCCGGGCCTACACAGGGAGCTGCAGGTGCTTCACCTTTCTTGGGCCTTTGTTGGAAATCTCTCCATCAGCCAAGGATTTTGGTTTTTATTTTATTTAAGGTTTTCCCCAAAATGTTCATTTTGTCTGTCCATAGTAACTTTGTGTGGGTTTTTATGGAATTTCTGACTTGGGATATAAACCCCCAGGCCCACATGAGGTTTGGGAAAATCCCCGGGCCTACACAGGGTGTCCCAAGTGCTTCACATTTCTTGGGACATTTTTGGGAATTCCACCATCAACCAAGGAGGATTTTCCCTAAAATATTCATTTCATCTGTCTGTGGTCACTTTGTGTTCACCCTGTGAGATTTTATGGAATTTCTGATTTGGGACATAAATCCCCAGGCCCACACGGAGTGCCCCAGGTGTTTCACTTTTCTTGGGACATTTTTGGGAATTCCACCATCAAATGAGGGGGATTTTTTCCATAAAAAAAGTGGATTTTCCCCTAAAATTTTCGCTTTGTGGTCTCTTTGTGTTCACTCCACGGGTTTTTAGGGAATTTCTGTACTTGGAGCTGTCCTTTGGGCAGATAATTTCCTTTTCACATTCCAAGTAGGAAGTTTGAGGTACCAAAGCAATTCCTGGACAAGAATTCCATCAGAAATTCAGCAAAAAAAAAAAAAAAAGGATTTATATTTTATAAAAAAATAGGATTTTATATTTTATCAGGAATTTTATCAATTCTTCATCTCATCATCATCACCTGAAATCCAGACCCACAAACTCAGCTCAAATAAATCCCCAAGGCTGAAAAATGCTGATAATGTGATTTCCACTCTCACATTTTCATTAAAAAAAAAAAACCTCTTCCTTCTCAGTTGTGGTGAACTGTTAAAACGAAAGGAAAACACGAAGCCAAAGCACCAAATAAATTATTTTATTTACATTTCATGGCTCTGGAATCAATCTAATGAGCAGAGGAGACACACGAGCAGCACAGAACAGTCTGACTCATTTAATTTGTGGCAATTAAAAGCACCCATTAATTACAGTGATTGACAGCTGAGGCAATTCCAGGAGTTACCAAACCCAATATTTGAGAAAAGTCCATAAGAACCTCGTCCCATTGTCTTGGAGGTTTTTTCAATGGAGAGAAAATTGGTTTAAAGCATAAAAAAAGCCCAAAAATCGCCAAGGTTTGGTTTCTGGAACTGGGAAGCTTTAATGGGATTTTTTTTCCTTTGTGGAATTTCCCAGCCCTGATATTCCACAGAGATCCTTCCAAAAAAAAAAAAAAAATAAAATAAAATCAGCTGCCAAATGCAAAGCCCTGGCACAAGCCCAAAGCTCATTTCACAAGTCCTGAACTTGCCTCAGATCAAAGAGTTCCTTAAAGAGATAAGAGAAGGAGATAAACTCCCTTCCCAGCTGGAAGAGAAATCCCTCTGGAAATTGAAATTAAAGTAAACAAACAAAAAAAAAATAAAATCAGGAATTTTGGCTTTTTCTTCAAAGGGTTTGCTTGGGAAAAAAAAAATAAAAATAAGAACCTAAAGTACTTTTTTACATTAAAAAAAAAAATAAATTTTAAAGAGCAACAATTTGTGCAGGGGAGCTCCAGACTCACCTCCAACCAACCAACCAACTCCAGAGATTTATCCAGAAGATTCCTCACCCTGTTTTTTTCCTGGCACGCCGATGTCGATGCTGTTGTTGTTGTTGTTGTTGTTGATGTTGTTGTTGTTGTCGTGGCTGGTAAATTGATTTTCTGGCTTTAGGAATTCCAGGGCTCTGCTCTGATCCTTGCCGACTGCTTTGCATACGGAGATGAAATCAGAGGAAGCTGCTGCAGCTGCTTTGCTCTTCCCTATAATTTTCCAAATTGGGCTCCGAGGCCGCTTGGCAGAGAGGAAATCGTCGGTGTCATTACCCCGGATCGGGGCAGAACATCTCAACCTTCATTTTTTTTTTTTTTTTTTTTTCCCCCCCCTGATTTTATCGCAGCAATTCCAGGCTCCAGGAAGGGAACGACCAAAAACGCCCAGGGCAGGAAAATAAACAGTTTTTTTTAAAAAAAAATAAAGTAAAATAAAATAAATAAATAGAATAGAATAAAAATAAAATAAAATAAAATAAAATAAATAAATAGAATAGAATAAAAATAAAATAAAATAAAATAAATAAATAGAATAGAATAAAAATAAAATAAAATAAATAAATAGAATAGAATAAAAATAAAAATAAAATAAAATAAAATTAAATTAAATTAAATAAATAAATAGAACAGAATATAATAAAAATAAATAAATAAATAAATAGAATAAAATAAAATAAATAAATAGAATAGAATAGAATAAAATTAAGTAAAATAAAATAAAATAAAATAAAATAAAATAAAATAAAATAAAATAAAATAAAATAAAATAATTAAGAACTGGATCCTGGAGTCTCAGTTTTGGAGCAGTTCCTGAGGTGGCGCCTGGAATCCGATTTCCAAATAAAGGGATGGTGATTTTTGGGGGGTGGTTTTTTTCATTAGATGATTGTGAGATTGAAGGGGAAATATGAGATTAAATTAAATCAAATCACCACCAACTGCTCGTTAATTATTTGCGTTTTCAATGCCCTTTTCTTGCTCAGATCAGAGCAGGGTGTCAGTTCTGTTCATTTCTGTCCATTTCTACTCATTTATGTTAATTTATGTTAATTTTGGTCAATTTCTGACAATTTATTTCCATTTATGTTCATTTATGTCCATTTCTGATGTGATTCCCTCTGCTCGACCCCATTAAAAAAAATCAAATTTTTGGCAACCTCCCATTTCCTACTGGAAATCTCAGTCTCATCCCTAAGAATTTAAGGACAAAACACATTTTTATTTGGATTTCCTCTCTCCTGGAGAGGTCTGGGGACATTTTTTTAACCTCCAGCACCACGAAAGGCAGCAATTAAATTAAATTAAATTAGAATTAAACACCCAAATAACCCCGGAACTGAGGAATTCTTCCCCACCACCCAACGAGATTTGCTGGGAATAATCATGGCACCCCGATTTCCTGGGAATCTTTCATCTTGGGAAACAAAAACG